TTTTAGAGCATAGAGGTCATCGCATACCGTACTCGAAGGCAATCGGAGAGCGCCATATTACGAGTGTTTTGAAAAGACTTCGATTCCACCCGTTGGGGTAAACAACAGACGCCGGAGTGGGCTATGACATGCTACATACGTCTTTCCAAACGCATGTAGTACGCTCCGGCCGTAAGATCTCGGTTGTGGCCGCGGGAAAACCGTTGATAGGGTGAAAGGACAAATTCGCCACACACCAAGGAGTGAACTGGGATTCTTGACCATAAAAGCCAACCCAATTGACCTTGCAGACCAACTTATCCACAATTGACACTCCACCTAACTTGATCTTCATTCTTCATGTCGGTAACGGATTCATCCAGTGAACTCACTTTGAGCGCTGTCTTCAGTGTGAGGAGCCACCCACCAGGATCTTCCAAGCCCTTGGCGCAGGGTTCGGAACCCATTCAATCAAACTCAGTCAGTAATGCAGTGAGTTCTCACGACCACACCATGGCAAGATCTTTGGTTTCTTCCAGTCCGGCTCGCCCTTCAGTTCTACCAGCCAAAACTGCAGGCTCAACAGACGCCTCGGCAAGTCTAGTCTTTGGTGGCGAAGCCAACTTTACGTTCACTCTTCGTTATGATTTCAATAATCACGTTGTGGTTTATACAGAAGGTCCTTGGCGCAACCATGCTGTAGTACACGGGCTTGCTTTAGCGGCGTTGCGTGTCCTGACAAGAAATGGAACAATGGTCACTGTGAGACAGTTCAAGGCCCAGCTCCGTTCCCTATGTGAAAGTTCTTTTCCTCAGACCCTGATCTCAGTGGTTGATGAACGGGTAGAACCGAGATCTTAGCCAGACTTACTGTATGTTGCAATTGCTTTCATAGCTCCAGCTTCTGAATACAGCATGTCTCCATTGATGGTCGCTTCTTTACCTGTGCAACAAGCTATCCCCGGACGGCTTGAGCGAGTCCCACATATTCAGCATCTCCTGTTGCAAGAGCAACAGAAGGCTGAAGCTTTGACTGCCAACTGATGGTCCCACCCCAGAGTCGAAACACATAACCGCTTGTACATCGACATTGCTCGGTATCGCTCGTGTCAAAATCTGCATCACTGAATCCATCCAGTTCGCTCCCACCGTTCACATATTGTATACCGACCGTTCGGGTTTGTTTGAAATATTGTAAGACAGAGAGGACTGCTTCCCAATGAGTGATAGAGGGGTCGTTTGAAAACCGACCGAGCAAACCAACCACATATGCAAGGTCTGGTCGAGTTCCAAGCATGGCATACATGAGCGAACCAATAGCTGTCAAATATTGAGCTCAATTGGTTGTGGGTTCTTCAGGTAGGCGAGCATGTAGGATTGTCTTTTCTTTCATAGCTGTATTTTTCAGTCTGCAATTTTGCATGTCAAATCGTGTGAGGATGGTGTCAATGTATTGAGTTTGACATAGATCGAGCTGGCGCTTCGATCGATCGTGCTTGACTTGTAAACCGAGGATAAAGTGCAGCTCACCAAGATCTTTCATGTCATATCGGTTTGACATTTCATTCTTGAAGAACTCGAGCGTGCTCGAGCGAGAGGCAGCAATGGTGAGGTCATCCACATACACTCCAACAATAATCAGATCATCAAACTGACCTCGAACATAAATCGAGTGATCGGACATTGTTCGAATGAACCCGAGTGAGCGAAGTGTTGAGTCAAGTTTGCGGTACCAAGCTCGAGGTGCCTGCTTGAGTCCATAGAGGGATTTGTCTAGCTTCCAGACCATCTTTTCATCTTGAGCGAACCCTTCCGGTTGTTCCATGTAGACTACTTCATCGAGCGAACCATAGAGGAAGGCAGTTTTTACATCCATCTGATGAAGTTCAAGATTGTGCATAGCAGCAAGTGCAAGGATTGTTCGAATGGATTGAAACTTGGCAACAGAAGCAAATGTCTCATCATAATCCATACCTGGTTGTTGGGTAAAACCTCGAGCGACTAGTTGAGCCTTGAACCGATCAATGTCACCATTGGCAAATCTCTTGACCCTAAAAACCCATTTGCAAGTTACAATCCTGCCTTGAGCGGCCGAGCGAGGTACAGTCGGGTCCAAAAAGTCATGCATCCACTGCCACATTCCGCTGCCACACTCATGCACCCCACCACTTTCAAAACGCCGTAGAACAAACAACACGACATTTGGGGCTCTGATACTCCGTCTAGACGTTCTCCTGCATGTCAAGAATGGTAGGACACCCGATTTCCCCCTCAAAAAGGGCTACCATTGCCGAAGCGGTCACTTACTCCACTTCTAAGTCTGTTGCCCAACGATTTGGATGCCATCCCTCTACAGTCAATCGTCTTCGCAAACATTGCTTGGAATTGGGTCACAGCAAGACTAAACCTCGCTCTGGACGTCCCAAAAAGCTATCCTCATGTGAGGAGTTTCGAGTAAAACACGCTTTCCTGAAAAATCGTCGACACAGCTTGCGCCAGATTCTCTCCTCCCTCCAAAAAGACGGCATTGATATCTCCCTCAACTCCCTTCGATCCACCATGAAGCGTCTCGGTCTCAAACGTCATGTAGCTCGAGTAAAACCTATTCTCACTGCTCAGCATCGAAAAGACCGGCTTGCATGGGCTGCAAAATATAAGGACTTTGACAATTGGCCCTTGGTTATCTTTATGGATGAAGCTAAGATGTGGATTGGCGGATCAACAGTGGAATGGGTAACTCGTGCAGATGGAGACGCTTTCAATCCTGCTTGTGTGATACCAGCAGCAAAGAAGGGAGAAGGAGTAATGGTATGGGCAGCTATCTGGCTTGGAGGAAGGACGGAATTGGTTCGATTTGATCTCTCTGTGAGTAAAGGAAAGAGGAAGGGAGTTACAGGAGCAATATACTTGGAGCAGATTGTGAAGAAGCCTCTTTTGGAAGAGTGGAAGAAGGTAGTACAGTTATGGAGAGGATATGGGACCCCTTACATCCTACAGGACAATGTACCCCTTCATTGGACCCCTCCAATCCGAGCATTCCTGAAGAAGCACAAATTCCAATACATCGATCATCCAGCATCCTCTCCAGACCTTAATCCTATCGAAAACTGCCGGGCCATTGTCAAGCGTCGACTTAAACTACTCCCTGAACGTCCTACAAACCTAGATGAGCTTTTTGAGGCTGCAAACAAGCTATGGATGGAGATACCACAGGAGAAGATTGATGCTTGTATTGAGAGCATGGAAGCGAGGAGGAAGGCAGTTGAGAAGGCGCATGGTTTTGGTACAAAGTACTGATCACCTGCACTACTCATCTTAGTAAGTCATCTTCCTGACAGACATATGCATCAATTGACAAAGTTTCAGGTCGCTAGCTATCTTAATGCATGAATTATGAGGTTAAACGGTTAGGGGATGTGTAGAAGGAAAATTGCACAGACTAAATTTCACGCGCGACGACGCATGACTTTTTGGACCTGACTGTACTAGGTGATAGACACCTGCCTTTTCTAGAGACTTCATCTCGTCCTGAGCTGCTATTTTCCACTGCATTGAATCGCTCAATTGAATTGCTTCATCCCATGAGTGAGGTTCATCGATCGAGATGTGAGCTGCAAAGGCAGTGAGCGAGTATGCTAAGAGGGGATTTGGCCATTGAGGGAGTCGAGCATCCAAAAGGGAGGAGTCTTGTTCACCTGGTCGACCAAGGAAATTGTTCAGCTCGATTTCATACTCTGGGTACTGGAAGATAAGACCAAACGTTCAACCTGAGCGAGTTTGCATTTGTTCTGGTTGTTGTTCCTCCAGCTCAGGTGAGGGAGCATGCTCTCGAGCAAAGCAAGGATCTTCCTCATATTGCCATCCTGGATATCGAACGAGTTCGTTCGATTGATCGTGATTGTCCTGCTCTACTTCGTTTTGCCCTTCATTTCCCTGTCCTCCTGCTCCCACCAGTTCTGCATCCCCCACCCCATCTTCATCTCCCACCACTTCTTCATCTCCCATCACTTCTTCATCTCCCACCACTTCTCCATCTCCCACCACTTCAAACGCATTGACTGGGGTCGAGATGCTCAAAGTACTTGTTTGAGAAGTGGGTGTGAGTTCAATCGATCTAGTTCTGGCACCAAGCTGTGTGTCCAGTAGAAAGAGCTTATTCAACTCAGTGAGCGAAGGAGATGAGTGAAGCATTCTCTGCGGTGAGATAAATTCATCAAAGATGACATCGCGCGAGATGATCACCTTTCGAGCGAGTGGATCCCAGAGTCTGTACGCCTTCTGAGTAAGAGCATACCCAAGGAGACAGCACAAAGTCGCGCGAGGTTAAAGCTTACTATCTCGAGCGCCTTTCCAAACGAGCGCCCAAGCCGCACATCCAACAGCTCTGAGTTTGGATAAGTTAGGCTTGGTATGAGCAAACATCTCAATTGGGGTCTTGTCTTTGATTGAGCGAGATGGTGATTGATTCTTGAGATACACAACAGTTGCCATGATCTCTGCCCATAGAGTGACAGGAGGTTTCTCTGAATGGAGGAGTGCAATTGTTCGTTCAACAATAGTCCGATTCGCTCGCTCAGCTACTCCATTCTGCTGAGAAGTGTAAGCAGCCGTGGTTTGGTGCTCTACCCCGAGCGATGCAAGATAGCTTTCAAACTCCTTGCTTGTGAATTCTCCTCCATTGTCCAAACAAAGACATTTGAGTTTCCGCTCACTAACTCGTTCGACTCGAGCAAGCCACTCTTTGAAACAACCGATGGCATCTGACTTTTGAGCGAGAAAGAACGACCAGGTATATCTTGAATGATCATCCACCAGCACCATCATATACTGTGCTCCTCCATCCGAACAAACTCCCATTGGTCCGCAGAGGTCGGTGTGAACGAGGTCTAGGACGGCTTCAGCTTGTGATTCACTTGGTGGAAAAGAGGGGCGCACAATCTTTCCCATGACACAACCTTCACACACATCTTTAGAAGGTGTCGAGCGAGCGAGTGAGGTCCCGTTGCTCATTCGACCGAAGAGTGATTTCATGGCACCAGAGGATAAATGACCAAGGCGTCGGTGCCAGATGTCCCAGGTCATTCGAGTATTACTGGCTTTGATGTTGTTGGTTGCCAATGCAAGAGTAGTGGGTTCAAACGAGGTGGGTAAGATCCGAGCCATGTCCTTCAGATCGGTCAATCGATCAGAGCATTGTCCAGCTTCCACCACATACACCTTATCCACCTTGTGTGCTCGAAGTACCTCAAGCTCACCTTTCATGACAGAACACTTTCCACCACCAAACACCACTGTTGCTCCAAGCGAGTCAAGTCGAGATATCGAGATGAGGTTGAATCCCGAATGAGATACATAAAGAACTCGACTAAGTGTTACTTTGTGAGCAAGATGGTTTGTAAGATTGACCAAGCCGCACGAGCTTGCTGTAAGAGTTCTCCCTCCAGCAGTTGTGATTCGAGCGATCGACTCGGTCAATTTGAGATCTTTCATCCACTTGATATCCCCACTCATGTGTTCACTTGCCCCAGAGTCAAGAATCCATTGACTTGAACGAGCGGCCAGCGAGATCGAGTTGATGTCGGTGGTGAGGAGGAGATGTTCAATATTGTTGCATTCAAACAAGGTGATTGCTTGCGAGGCAACGGCAGCTGTCTCAGTCTTTACAGGAGCAGCAACCTTGTTTGATCGACCCTTGTCTTTCTTTTTCTTCCATTTCCTGGTTCTACCTCGCTCATTCGAGGATGCAGGAACCGAGCAGTCCACTACCCAATGATTGACCGATCCACATCGAGCACAGGGATGTTCCTTACTTGGTCCCTTCCCTGCCTTCTTCAATCCAGCATAGAACACCATGAGAGAGTCTTTGTCCCGAGAGCAGGTGAGGTTTGTTGCCAAGAAAGTGAGGAAGCTTGAGCTGCTAGAGCTTTGTCATTTGTTCGGTTCCTCTGACCTGCGTTCACTCGAAGGATTTCGATCTTGATGTTTTCCACAGATGGTGTATCATCTTCCTTCCAGATGCCGTCAATGAACGAACTGAAGTGATCAGGAAGACCATTGAGGAGAACATTGACACAGAGTTGATCGAGATCGTACAAAAGAACTTTGAGATCACGATATTGAGCGAGCACTTTGTTCACCCATTCCTCAACATCCTCATCCTCTGAACACCGGTTTTCCACAAATTTCTTCCCAAGAGCAAACGAATATTGAGCACCAGTAGTTCCATAGGTCTTCTTGAGCGAATCATAGATTGTTCGAGCTCGATAAGCAGGGGAAATGGTGGTGGAAACCGGTCGATCGGTCGAAGGAGGACCAATGGGTGACAAAAGGTGAAGATGAGCAGAGAGGATATCCTCAGAAGTGGAGTGGAGAATGGCGGCAGCAACCTGTTCATCTAGTTCGTTCCAGGCTTCGAGCAAAAGGGATGATCCAGTGGAGGGGATTGTGTCACGCGGCGCCGCGTGACATCATCCTTTTCCCATCAAACGAAGTTCCTTTTGACATTAATTCACCATCAACAACCCAGTTCTCATGAACTTCTTCACCCACGAGGGTATTAGGAGGCTAACTTCGTCGAGGGCAAAGTTAGTCATGTAGGAAGTTAGGGAGTTATGAAGTTATGAAGATACGAAGTTAGGGAGATACGAAGTTAGGAAGATACGAAGTTAGGGAGGCACGAACTTTGTTGGGGACGAAGTTCGTGAGGTACGAAACTCGGGACTTCGGGTTGAATGAAGTTCTGCGTTGACGAAGTTAGGGAAGGACGAAGTACTTAAGGGCCGAAGTTCCCAGAGATCTTTGACGATCTCTGGTTGTTGTCTTAGTGATAGAAGTTAGTAAAGCACGAAGTTATTACACCCAGAAGTTATTGTCACCTATTTCATATCTCGAACAACGAAGTTGGTAAAGGTCGAAGCCCACGAAGTTATTGGCCGTCGGTTGTAAGAAGTTAACGAAGAGGCAACCCTGTGACAGATTGTAGTGGTAGCAGTTGGTGCAATGGTGGCGGGGAGAACGAACGCGCGAGTTCGAGTCATGAAGAGACAACTGTTAACCTCAGATGCCATACCAGGTAGTTTCTTTTCCCAGTGAGCTTGGGCACAGTGTAGAACGATTTGGAGAGATCATTGAACGACATGGTGGGGGTGATGATGCTGATATCGAGCGAGATGAGGACAGGACAGGACGAGTCCCATCTAGTCGATGTCGGTCAAGTTCTCTATGTATGTGGTGGTCAGCCGTTCGAACAAGCAAGAAGACAATGACGTTCAAGTGACTGTTGGTATAAGAACCTAAGGCTCGTCACACTCCCACTCACACAAAAGGCTAGTCTTCCTGACTTCCCCATCTATACTCCCGCAGTGACGAGACGAGCGAGGAGGCCGGTCGGTCGGGCTGGTTGAGTGAACAAGTGAACGAGCGATGGGTAGGTTATGCTTGCTGAATTCGCTTAGTCGGTTAAAGCACGGGTCTCATAATCAGTTGTAATCGAACGATATAGTAATGCATAAAGACATGAACGAACGAACGAAGAGAAAAGTTCAACACCCATAGCTTATTGGATCCCTCCAACAAGGGTATCACCACCTATGGGTTTAAATGATCGCCTGTGGGACTCACGATGTAAACATGTGGGAACAAGAAAAATTCACTGAGACGCTTAGCATCCAGAGAGATGGAAAGAACCCGCCATCCTTTCAAACTGCGGGAGCTGAAACCCAGGTTTACGACCCCGCTCACGGTGGTGAGATGGACAACCTTGTCGACCATCCCTCTTCACCATTGTAACGTCTCTGCCGGCAATTGGTTCAAATCCGACCTTTCGTATCTTTTGTAGCAACGCAAGATGCCGAGTGATACCTCCAATCTGATCCGTAGGAGCACTTCCCTTGCCAGTCTTTTCTCTCTCAGAGATGATGACTCACACTCAAGCCTCGGCATAGTCTCTACTGATAAGTGTCAGGACCAGACGTTGGAAATATTCTGCGTCTATGAGCTATGGCTATAGGGCCTCGCAGGGAACAAACCTAGTGATGTAGTTTATAGTCTAGTGATGTAGTGGATCAAAGAGACTATAAGTCGATGAGATCAAGTGGCAAAAGATTTGCTAAGTGACAAGAAAATACATTCAACAAGACATCTACGAAAAAGGGGTGTTTCTATATACTAAAAGGGGAGCGGAGTGAGACCGAAATCTACGGAGTAAATGTGGAAAGCGACATGGGGTGTAAGACCAAAGGAAGACGGAGATAGATGAAGGACACGGAGATGAAGGAAAAGTATAGCATGGTAAAGAAGTAACGATTAGGTAGGACAGGAGAACGGAAGACGCCGTAACGGGATTAGTGAAACGGGGACGGGAACGGGTAGGTGGAGCACGGGAACGGGTAGGTGAAGTACGACTTCTGCGTACGGCTCTTGAGGAACCCGTCTACAGGTACCCGTGATCCTGACAATAAGGAGCCAGACGGGTCTTATCTACAGACCCCCAATGCTCCACCTCCTTAAGTCTGCCAACACAGCAATGCAGTTGAGAGTGATGATGAAGAAGATGGAGAGGGGGCCAAGGAAGAGGAACTACCCTTCACACTGGATGAGGGTACGTTTGCGCAGACCATAGTGGTCTGCACGGATCCCTTGTGGGGATACTTTGCACTCATCCACGATGGTCGCCCTTCAGAACAGGCTGTGGCTGCTCTCATCATGAGGAAGATCGGAAAATGGGTGCAGGAAGATACCCAGCGGTCACTGCAGCTCACACCTGCAAGCTGAGGTAGGGGACCAGTCGTATGACGACTTGTGGTGTAGCTACATCACCGCCGTGATGTCCACAAGGAGTGGCGAGGGGATCTTGTCATATACAGTGATTAAGCTTTCGGCTGCATGTCCTATGGGCAAGCTATCTGAAGCGAAAAGATATATGTGTATTGCCAAGTGTTCTGTGCAGGTGGGGACCCCAGTTCACATATCCAGGCTCAAGAAACCTTAAGACGTCGGACCGTACTCGTGTACATTTTGAAGGTGTAAGTCGTGTTGCTTAACATCTAGGAGGAGGAAGATGCACAATATTGCTTGAGGGGAATCTAACTTGAGGGCCATACGTCTATGCATCGGAGTTTTTGATTCAAAACTTTTCCATTGAAGCAGTCAACAACACTCTTACTCTGAGAGTATTTGCAGATAAGACGCAAGTTGCCTCTTTTTGCTAGTGGTGGTTCTGTACTTGGTAAGGTGCACATTGCCTGGAGTTCAGAAGGGTGCAGAATTCCGGAGCATGGTTGAATTCCGCCCATACGAAGGTCTCCCGCTGTCAGGATCACGGGTACCTATAGACGGGTTCCTCAGAGTCGTACGCAGAAGTCGTACTCCACCCTACCCATTCCTGTCTCCGCTTTACTAATTCTTCACTAATTCCACTACGGCGTCCTCTGTTCTTCTTTCCTACCTAATCGCTATTTCTTTGTCTTGCAATACTTTTCCTTCATCTCTGTGTCCCTCATCTATCTCCGTCTTCCTTTGCGCTTCCACCCCATACTATTTTCCATCTTTACTCCATAGATTTTGGTATCACTCCGCTTCCTTTTAGTCTCTAGAAACAGCCCCTTTTTGTAGATGTCTTGTGAATGTATTTCTCGTCACTTAGTAAATCTTTGCCACTAGATCTCATCAACTTATAGTCTCTTGATCCACTACATCACTAGACTATCTACTACATCACTAGACTATCTATTACATCACTAGACTATCTACTACATCACTAGGTCTGTTCCCTACAAGGCCCTATAGCCATAGCTCATAGACGCAGACTATTTTCAACGTCTGGTCCTGACACCCGCCATGTACTGTCCTCTTCAAACGTGGCCGTCAAGGTAACTGATTTCATTCTACCTATTGAAGTATTTTTTATTTCGTTTTCCCGGCCTACATATCCTTGAAGACCTTATTACACTCCACCCTTGTACACCTGTTATGGCAAGTTCATTGATTCAGAGGATAACTAGTGCCATTTGTAGGTTTTCATCAACTACTCCTGTTGCTGTCACATTTTTCCTAGTGGTGATCGGTCACCCGAGTGTCCTGATTGTCGTGCGTTTGGACCCAAATTTGTCGGAAATATACTTTGAGTTGCCTTCTCCACCCCTATACTGAACTTGCCACATGGAGAAAGGAGGTGAACACTTTCTAAAGTCCGCCTTCAGAGGTCAGATTTGACTGCTCATCTATCCCGCTTTTCCCTTTTTCCTTGCTGAATCCTTGGAACGCTGAATAGTGCGTTAAGTACTGAGATTCTTTCGGATTCCTCTTCTAACAAAGCAAAAGCGCACATATGTCAAAACCAAGAATGGATGGAATTGTTCAGCCAAGATCAATTTTAAAGAACACATCTTCGGCGTTTGAGACATCAACCCCAGGCTCAGGAAGCGGACCAAATACAATACTCTCAGATTGGTCTGAGAACGAAGAAAAGAATACGGGAAAAGAAAGCCAAGTGGGTCCATTGACTTCCCTCATTTCCAATCTGTGGTGTCGGGGAAAAACCGACGAGGGGAAATCACTCTCTTCAGGATCGGAATGGCGGCTTGATGTGGTGTATGTCTGGGAACATGACCGCATAGTGTCCCTGGGGCTTTGTCAACCAGGTACACCATTGGGAAACAAGGCAGTCGTGTCCACCCTGAATAAAATCTACGGTTTGGCATATCAGGATCCAGAGCTTATACAGCTTACTAATGAAATTAAGCATGACACAATAGAGGAACTTTGGCTCCAAATAGTCACACAGGCTGTCTTTGATGACTTCTTCCGCACTTCAAGGGTCAAACAGGTTCAGAGTCAGGTTGGCTCTGGACACTTGAGGGTAGAGAGAGTGTCGGAGCAACTCCGTGATGCAAGAGGAGCAGTTAGTCCTCGTGGGCTCTTTCACAGGACCATAATCCTGAATATCTACCGTCGGCGGTACCATGGTACCCAGTCAACAATCACCCGGTCATCTAGTGATCCTGGCAGGCTTAGAACAGGATCCATCACCACGGAGCCGCTTTCTGTTGCTCGATCAACTTCTGGGGCTCTTACAGACCAGTTTCACACGGTTGCCGTGAAGAATAGTCAAACACTCCTAGATTCCGCTCAGGCAGGAAACTCTGAAGGACATCTGATTCAAGGGGGGAGTATGGGTGGACCAGTCAGAGAAATCAAATTTGGTGATGCTGACAAACCACCTCATGTGGTTGTGAAGCCAACATTGCAAGAGCGTGTGCGTGATCACTTTTTAGGGAAGCGCACAAGGAGGAAGAGCCCAACGCCCTTGGGAGTGTCACGTACGGTATCTGCTCCAATTGTTCCCACTCCAAGTGTGTCTGAGGTTTCAACCCTATCCATTCCAGATTCCTGTGGGCCTGATAGTAATGCAGCTTCACAGTCTCAACGGTGAGAAGGATCTTGGCTGAAGTTGGCCACACTTAGAAAACCTAACTTCCTTCAAAATGGTGGGTACAAGGGCTTTGAAACTTATGAGCCAGTAAGCAGGTTTGTAGATGCATTGAAAGAGGACAGAAGTGACCAGTTCCTTCCAATGCTCCCTGTTAGGTGAGAGTGAGACTTGAAGGTATGTACATGCATGTGAACAGGGTCTGCAGAGCCCGCGGGAGTAGATGCTGGCAGGTGATGACGTCCCAGATGTTGGAGGGATCGAATAAGCTATGGGTGTTGAAACTTTTCTCTTCGTTCGTTCGTTCATGTCTTTATGCATTACTATATCGTTCGATTACAACTGATTATGAGACCCGTGCTTTAACCGACTAAGCGAATTCAGCAAGCATAACCTACCCAGCGCTCGTTCACTTGTTCACTCGACCAGCCCGACCGACCGGCCTCCTCGCTCGTCTCGTCACTGCTGGAGTATAGATAGGGAAGTCAGGAAGACTAGCCTTCTGTGTGAGTGGGAGTGCGACGAGCCTTAGGTTCTTACACCAACAGTCGCTTCACTTGAACGTCATTGTCTTCTTGCTTGTTCGAATGGCTGACCACCACATACATAGAGAACTCGACCGACATCGACTAGATCGAACTCGTCCTGTCCTGTCCTCATCTCGCTCGATATCAGCATCATCACCCCCATCATGTCGTCCAATGATCTCTCCAAATCGTTCGACACTGTGCCCAAGCTCACTGGGAAAGAGAACTACCTGGTATGGCATCAGAGGTTAACAGTTGTCCTCTTCATGACTCGAACTCGCTTGTTCGTTCTTCCCACCACCATTGCACCAACTGCTACCACTACAATCCCCTCCACTATATCATCCCTTTCGCTCGAAGCCTGGAACGAACTAGATGAACAGGTTGCTGCCGCCATTCTCCACTCCACTTCTGAGGATATCCTCTCTGCTCATCTTCACCTTTTGTCACCCATTGGTCCTCCTTCGACCGATCGACCGGTTTCCACCACCATTTCCCCTGCTTATCGAGCTCGAACAATCTATGATTCGCTCAAGAAGACCTATGGAACTACTGGTGCTCAATATTCGTTTGCTCTTGGGAAGAAATTTGTGGAAAACCGGTGTTCAGAGGATGAGGATGTTGAGGAATGGGTGAACAAAGTGCTCGCTCAATATCGTGATCTCAAAGTTCTTTTGTACGATCTCGATCAACTCTGTGTCAATGTTCTCCTCAATGGTCTTCCTGATCACTTCAGTTCGTTCATTGACGGCATCTGGAAGGAAGATGATACACCATCTGTGGAAAACATCAAGATCGAAATCCTTCGAGTGAACGCAGGTCAGAGGAACCGAACAAATGACAAAGCTCTAGCAGCTCAAGCTTCCTCACTTTCTTGGCAACAAACCTCACCTGCTCTCGGGACAAAGACTCTCTCATGGTGTTCTATGCTGGATTGAAGAAGGCAGGGAAGGGACCAAGTAAGGAACATCCCTGTGCTCGATGTGGATCGGTCAATCATTGGGTAGTGGACTGCTCGGTTCCTGCATCCTCGAATGAGCGAGGTAGAACCAGGAAATGGAAGAAAAAGAAAGACAAGGGTCGATCAAACAAGGTTGCTGCTCCTGTAAAGACTGAGACAGCTGCCGTTGCCTCGCAAGCAATCACCTTGTTTGAATGCAACAATATTGAACATCTCCTCCTCACCACCGACATCAACTCGATCTCGCTGGCCGCTCGTTCAAGTCAATGGATTCTTGACTCTGGGGCAAGTGAACACATGAGTGGGGATATCAAGTGGATGAAAGATCTCAAATTGACCGAGTCGATCGCTCGAATCACAACTGCTGGAGTGTTACGGGGTAACAACGAATCGAGGGAACTCTATCGAGTTCGACGGATTAGGACAGAGGAAAGCGGGAGTTGGAGGCAGTGCTGCAGTAGGTAGGGACGGGTTTTCCCCTTTCGAGATTTTCCCCACTGGGTTTGCTCAAAGCGGTTTTTCACCTGTCCGAGTATGTACATGGACGCTTGCAGTAGGACTGAGAAGAGGAGACGGATACCTGTAGACAGTATATAGTACAATCAGCAAAGTACCAACTTTGCTGATTCTTCAATATCATTCTTTGGCTACATCGATTGCAGAGGAGACACGATCCATTAGCACCAGAGCCCCTAGATTTCCACGAGACCTCCATCGAGTTCGACCCAACCTGCGACCTAGTCGTCGTGTTTCCAGTACCGTTACAAGTTGAAGAATCAGCCTTACGCACCTTGGGTCGAATCGGAGAGTACTGTATGCTCACCAGAGGGAAAGCGCGGAAAATGATACCAGAAAAAGAGGAGTTGGAACAAGGGCTGGTCCCAGAGGAAGAAATACCAACAAGTTCTTCGAGAAGTACCATTTCACATGATCTCACTTCTACTACCACTACCCCAGATCCGCTAAATGAATTATCGCAGCAGTTGTCACAATTGTTAGCCATTATGACGATGCAACAAAAGGAACAAAATGCATTAAGGGAAGAACTGGCTACGATGAAAGCTGACCGACAGAACCAACAGATACTCACATCGAAAGGGGCAAGTTTGATCGAAGTCGAAGAAAACAAGCCGTGTTTGGAGCCAAAACTTACCAACAACGAACGAACAGGAAGAACCAGGTGTGCGGATCCACCTACCTTCAGTGGAGAACGAGGAGAATTGGACAACTTCCTTGCAGCATGTCACATGAACTTCGAATTCAAGGGGGCAGAGTACGCCACCGATCGCAGAAAGATCCTGTTCATGTACGGGTATCTTCGAGGCACCCCTCAAATGCTTATAACCCCGGCCATAACCAATCCAAGTATATGGAATTCGACCGAATGGCTAGAGAGCTACGACAAATTCATCCAGCATTTACGAACTCAATTTGGAGACAGTAACATGGCAGGTACGGCTATGAGGAAATTGCAGGAGTTAAGACAGACGGATACGGCCGCCGAGTATTTTGCCAACTTTGAACTTTGGTCCACACACCTTGGAAAGGTACCAGATGCAATGAAAATCGCCTCAGCCATACAGGGCCTGAAGGAAGAGCTACTGAAGGTGGTAGTGGTAAATAACACCGACCCTCGAACCAAATCGGACTGGATCTATTTCAAACAGCATGTGATAGGGACTGAGGAGAACCAACGGATGGCTGAAACGATGATTGCAGCGAATCGATGGGCTGCTAGACGCAAACATGAGACGACCTGGCTTCCCCCTCGATCGAATTCGATGCGATTGGATACTAGTTTGCCCAACCCGGTAGAACGCCACTCACAACCGACTGGTAGAGGACCCTTGCCCGGTGGAAAACCAGGGATGATGAATTATGGTCTACCAAATGACCCTCCGGTCACTTGGACAGAGGACGGAGGACGTCTCAGCGAGAACGAAATGACTTGGAGGAGGGAGAACCGACGTTGTCTCAAATGTAGAAGTCCAGAACATTACGCCAACAACTGTCCAAATGGAGGAAATACGAGAAACAACATTAGGGGATCCCCAAACCCGCATAGCTCACCAATTCCTAGTGGATCGAACTCGATCCCAACCGGATCCAAAGGGCCATTAGTTCGAGGAATGGCGGTAACCTTTGAAGAAGAGGGAAACGAATACCTGGCCTAAGTGATGCGACCACTTGCGGCCAGGATCTAACAGAATCGCACAAAATTCAACTACCAATAGATCTCAGTAATGACTCGGCTATAATATACATAAAGATACAGACAGAAGAAGATACCCTACGATTTGGAATGTTAATTGATACCGGAGCTACCGGAAGATACGTACAGCCGGCCTGTCCATTATACCATTTATTCCCAAAGAGACAGTATCAGGAACCACGGAAGATCAGATTCCTCGATGGAACAACCGCGACGTTAGTGACCGAGTATGTAGAAGCTGAGTTGGATTTAGGAGCAGGACTCAAGATTGCGACTCGATTGGATGTGATGGCATACGAAGGCCCCGAGGTACTGGTGGGATTGGATTTCTTGAAACAGTTTAGGGCAAGGATCGATTGTGGAAAGGGATTGATCGAGTTCGACGGAATCGGACAGGATAACGGTTGGAAATATCCGAGGTTGGAGGAAGGATTGATAAGAGGAACCGCACCGGAAAAAGGAGAAGATGAGATGAGCGAAGAAGAGTTACGACAGGTCATACCGACACAATGGCACCAATACCTGGAGCTATTCAAAGTGGAACGAGCCAGAAAACTACCACCAAGAAGAGAATGTGACCACGAGATCGAATTGACCCCCGGAGCAGAACTAAAACCAGGACCAATCTACCAACTGGATGAACATGGGGATGCATTCCTAAAGCAGTGG